GGGGATGGGCCTGGAACCCCTTGGGGGGGGGGGGGCTGTGAATATGGGGTGACCATCTGCAGTTGGAGGTAGTGAGTTGGGCCTGGAAAGGGAGTGGTGTCCCTGATGGTCCTGCCATTGATTCTCAGGAAGCCCACTCCCACTCCCCTCACCCACTGCTGCTCCCGCAAGAAGGCCCTGCCTCCCTGAATCACAGGTCAGCAGCTCCGATGTGCCACATCTCCTTTCCTTGTGCCCTCTCAACCAACCCCCCCACCCAGCATCTCCCAGTCAGGGCACTTTGTGGAGCTTTTCCACTCAGCCACCATTCAGGGGTCCCTCCCCCCTGAAACCCATGTTCCTGTCACCTCAGGGATTTGCCTGTCCCTGGAATGGGGTTCATCATGCCATGGAAGGGGTGTGGGAGGGGGGCTGGGTGGCAGCCTGTCTCATCACTCCTGCCCAGGAGAGCTACAGGCTCTCCACAGGAGGTAGAGCTGGTGCCAGTCAGGGGTGTCATAGATGGACCCCAAGAGGTCCAGGACCCTGTGCATAAAATCCTTATCCCTGGTATAACATATACTTTATTATTTCATTCTCAGCAGGCAAACTGAAGCAGAAAGAGATTAAGTGATTTGATAAACGTTTGTGTAATGAGGCCAGAAGGTCCTATGATGATCATCTAGTCTCATAGTTAGTATCACCAAGATCATGCTATTGATTTTGACATTGTAGCCTTAATGCTTCTGGTTGAGCTAAAGCATCTCTTCTGAAAAGCCATCCAGGCATGGCTTGAGACTCCAAAACTTATATAAGCAGCTGAGCCAATATCAGAAGATCAATTTTTAATCTCTATTTCCAGTTCTGCCTTTTCCTCTAAAAATGTTCGACAGTTTTATACCTGCACTTCCAGAAATGTAATACATCTCATCCAGCACACCAAATGCCCTGATGGAAAATATGTAGAAGTAACCACACAACAACTATGTACCAGAATGAACGCACACCAAAAATCCACCAAAGACAAAAATATAAAATTACCTGTGGGTGCCTACTTCTCACAAGACAATCACTCCATCTCTGATCTCTCAGTTGTAATCCTCAAAGGGAATTTACAAAACACCTTTCATAGATGGGCCTGTGAACTTTACTTCATAAATCTACTCAATACAAAAAATCATGGACTTAATATAGACATTGGATTTATGATATATTACAACCTGCCTGACATCTGATACCCCAGGTAGCCTGCTTTCAGCCCATCACTTGCATTCCTTCACACATTTACCACCCTTCCCTGCCCTCCACTCCTATCTGTACTCATTATCTTCCAAAATTCCACTCATTTGCATTTTTACAGACCTTGGAGAACACATAACATCAGCAGAGTCTCCCTATGTCTGACAAAGGGTGTTTGTGCCTGAAAGCTTATAAAGAATTTTTTTCCAGCCATTTAGTTGGTCTAATAAAAGATATCACATCTACGCAAGGAACCTCGCCTACCTATATCCTTAGACCAACATAGCTACAACCAACAAAAGTGTTATATAATTTTATCAGAATATCAAACTGATATTAACAATTGCACTACCTTGATCATCATATTTTTCTACTTTGTTTCTTCATTATTTGATATAGCCAGAAATGGTTTTTAACACACACTTTATTACTGTGTTATAACCCTGTTTTTTTAAAAATCAAACTATGACAAATGGACTTTTCTGAAAATTTAAATTGTTTACAATATTTTTTATTTCCCAATACATTGATTACTACAAACCAGAGTAGATAAATTCATTCTACAACCACTCCCATAACAATTTTGATTAAAAACTGATTTAAAAAGGAATATTCTATGGATATGCACGCAGCCTCACTGCCTGAGGTCTGAGGGTATTACAAGAAGATTGTCATTTCCAAGGTGGGATCAATGAAAATAATAAGAGGTAGCTGTTTTTAACAGTTAGTACAGGAATAGGAAAAAAAGTCACCATAAGGCAACATTGGGTCCCTACTAGCAAACACAGGGTCATTATTCCTTTTCCATTCTAAATTGTTAAGGGAGGAGAAGCCTTTTCCCACTCCCACATTCCTAAGACTGAAGTAGCAGCTTTAATTTTTGCCTTCTGTTACTTGGCAAGTTGGTATTACGGTGCTGAAAAATGACTCAGGTACTAGAGATGAGATGTGAATTGACTCTGCTGTACACTTGTTAGTGTTTGTGCTTTGCTGCTTGGATACCTTTGTTGATGAAATGAAGTACTGCATACTATTAAATTACCATTTCATGCTACTTATGATAATGTGCTGAAAGCATGGCAGATTATTATTACTTTCATTTATAACTGATTAACATATATAGCCGATATATGTTCCTTTCTTGTGGAAAGCAATGCCTATATATGTGTTCCTTTCTAAAGGAGGGTGCAGAAGTGTGAGATTTCAATTTGAAAGAGTTTGTCATATCCCTTTACAGATTTTGAGTCTGCAAAGAGGAAGAGGAGGGAGAAAACAAAGAGGAAAAAGGACATATGTGAAAGGATAGGACTAACTATGATGTTGAGATAATATTTGTACTTGTAGCTGTTTTATGTCTCAGTGAGAATGTACTGAACAAGCTGTACTGAATACCTCTATGGGTAATAATATATTGTACCTACTCTTCAAGAGACTTGGCTATTGAATGCAGTATGAAATAGCACAGTGTGTAGCCATTTA